CCGCTATACGGTACAGGGGTAATTTGGTAATTACATATTGTACTGTAGGGTTTACTCTAGGATTATAAATAGAAATGTTTGTAATTCTAGGTCTTTGAGAGAGTTGAATTTTGTATTTTGTATTCTTTTCTGAATATTGAAAAGGAGATCGACGCTCTGCTCCCGAGGGCGTAGGCATCTTTGCCGAACCTCGTTAAATCTCTGTGTTCTTCTGGATTTGTGCCGATTCTAGTTTTTCCTCGCCCTAGTTTTCTCAACAAGTGGTATCAGAGCTTGCGGACGCAGAGCACTGTTCCTGTTCGTGGATCGCGAAGCTCGCTGGAAGGGAACAGTGCTTGGGCGGAATAGGCGGGATCCAGAAAAGGGAAGGAGCGGAGGGCAATAAATTAATTTTGAAACTTTCCTTTGCTGAAGAATATTCCATATTCTTTGCCTCTGTTCAAATATTCAAGAAGGAATATTCCTGCGCTGCTGGCTGTCCTTGAGGAGTTAATTAAAAAGGAATTTCTTGCGGTGTTAATTAAGAAGGAATTTCTTGCGAAGTTAATTAAGAATGAAACATTTCCGATTCTAGTTTTTCCTCACCCTAGTTTTCTCAACAAAGATGTAACATTTCCTTGATGAAAAGTTGGGACAAGCTCATCGAAATAGGCTACATAAAGTCACCTTTGGGACCTAGGGTTGTAAATGAACCTGTGTATTTGATAAATCATGAACTCAGCTCAATTAATACTCAAACATGTTTGTTTAAATTAGTAAAATAATAAGTTTGAAAATTCTTTAAAAGCTCAAAGGCTAAATGAATTAAACATGTACAAGATATAACATTTTTATTTATATTGATGAACTAACCCGTTTGTTGTTTGACAAGTAACTTATTAAATGCTCTATATTAAGCACTCACTAATTCTAGCCTGAAAATTGAGCTGAAAAACTTGGGTGTAAGCATCAGTGCTTCATTTAAATCTTGATTCTGAGTTTAGTATGAACATATTTTGGCCATATAACACAAATATCATTAATTTGTTTTTTCCCTATAGACTCATTAAGTACATGTGCTTTCAAGCGATATCAAAATACTCATTTAAAATTACTTTTAGCCTTGTTTCCTTCATGTATTATTATGATTAATTTTCATAATTAGAATATCTTCAATTTAATAAATTAAAACATATTTAAATTTATCAATAATTATTTTCAGTCAAGTATTTTAGTATAAGCAAACATCTGTAATTATATTGGAATACTCCAAATTTAATCAAAACAGCAGTATATTATATATAAGGAGGATACAATTCATACATGTATTCATTTTATCAGATGGATTTTTTAAATGAATAATTTCAGGCGGACAATGGATCTTCTAAAGATTAACTATAGTTTGACATTGATGTCTTTAACTATTGGTCTGCGTTATGATGTCTGCACATAATTTTTATAATGGTTATATGTTAAAAAGTATGATCGGTAGGTGAACTTCTTGCATCCTGCAACGCTTCATCTTTCATCTGGCGTTCTGGTCTTGGGGAGCCGTTCGCTTCAACGCCGTTGAACTTGATTTATATATATTCCACGGAAGAAGCATTCACTCCATCGATCTAAATGTTCTCCTCGTACTGTTCCATGAACTTCTTCAAACAGAAACAGAGCATGAGGACGACGTACACCAATTTGAAAATCTGGACGACATTTGGCATAATGTTATTGATGAATGGCATCTTGTCCAAGTTTAAATTTTTAACATTTTGACCGTGTAAAGTCTTCATAAGAATGTAATTATAAATTATTATAAATTTGAATATTTGAACGGTTAGTGGTGATGAATTTGGATTTGGACATTACATTTGAATAATCGTTGAATAACATGTTGAATTGACGTTTCATGCAGAGGTAATTAATAAGCAAGCAAGTGGCGGCTTCTTTATAAATCACAGATGAGCAATGCAGAGAGCAAGCAAAACGTAAAAGGAGCTGATCAATTAAGATGAACACAGCTGTTGCTCTAGTTGCTTTCTTCTTGGTTCCCTTGTGCATCCTGCTAGCAGAAAGTAAGAGAAGGAGGAGCATCAAAAGCAAGATACCTCTCCTTCCTACACTTCCAGGCCTCCCCTTTATAGGTAATATTCATCAACTTGGCTCGTTGCCACAACACTCACTCAGGGAGCTGTCGAAGAAGCATGGATCCCTCATGCTCCTACATCTTGGCTCCATTCCCACACTGGTTGTCTCATCGCCGCAGCATGCTCAAGAATTCGTGAAAACTCATGACACCATATTTGCAAGCCGACCCTCCACCAAAGTATCAAAGTTATTATCTTACAATAATATTGACATAGCATTCTCACCTTATGGTGATTGTTGGAGACAGATGAGGAGAATTGGCATGACACATCTCTTCAGCCAAAAAATGGTGCAGTCCTTTAGCAGTATTCGTAAAGAGGAGATGGCTTGCTTTCTTGATAGAATTGCAGATTCTGCTTCGAAAAATAATGGTGTTGTATGTATCACTGAGATGTTCACTTTATATGTTAGCAGTATTCTCTGCAGAGTAGTTTTAGGATCATCGATGAGTGATGAAAAGAGGAGATTGGTTTGTGAACTGGTACAGAAGAACTCAACTTTCTTTTCCGTTGTATTCTTCGAAAACCTTTTCCCAAAGCTGAGGTGGTTGGATGTGCTTTTTGGATTGGAGGCCAGACTTAGAAATCACTTCAATGCTTGGGATTCTCTCTTCGAGGAGTTTATTGATAATCATTTGAACAGGCACAGGGAAGATGGTGATAGCAAAGACACTTCAAGTGATTTCATTGATATTTTGCTTGAATTGCAGAGAGGTTCTAGCTTTGACATTACCCTCACAAGGGAACATATCAAGGCAACTCTAATGGTAAGTAATCAACATTTAAATTCAAAACCATTCATTTAAATATTTATGAAATCTAATTGGTGACTTTCCTTGACATACATGGTATAGGATATGTTTGCTGCAGGAACAGACACTTCATTCGTTACCTTAGATTGGAGCATGGCTGAACTTATTCGAAATCCGGAAGTGATGAAGAAGGCAAGAGATGAAGTGAGAGAAATAGCTAATGGAAAAGATATGGTATCTGAGGAACAGTTGGGACAACTCAAATATTTGAATGCTGTTGTGAAGGAAGTCCTTCGCCTTCATCCACCTATTCCTCTATTGCTTCCACGAGAGTCCAGTCAATCTTGTGAAGTAGAAGGATATAACATTCCTAAAGAAACAAGAGTAATTATCAATGCATGGGCTATAGGTAGAGATGAAGCTTATTGGGATTCTGCTGAAGATTTTAAACCAGAGAGATTTTTGGGCAGTACGATAGACTATAGAGGTAAAGATTTCCACTACATACCATTTGGGGCAGGAAGAAGAATTTGCCCAGGGATGCCATTTGCAATGTCTATCGTCGAACTTACATTGGCAAATATCTTGCTTCGCTTCAATTGGTCACTTCCTAGAGGCAATAATCATGAAGACATGAACATGGAGGATAGTCCGGGATTGGTTGCTATGAGAAAACATAAACTTGAATTAGTACCAACACTTGCTAAGACCAATTAAGTGCATAAAAGTTTAGCACAGATTGTAACATCCTCCGCAAGCATATGAATCTTGTTGTTAACTTTTTAAAGTAAACTACAATAATATTAATAAGTTGATAGATTTTTGTTTTATTGTTGTAAAGCCTTATGAAGAGACAAAGTAGAATAACTACAAAGAATACTAAAAACAGAAAGATTAACTTGTCTAAATAACTGCAGAAAAGGTCGGATCAAATCAGGAACTAATCCACATCAATACACCGCTCAAGGCTCATATCTAGGGAGTTGGAGTTTCTTTTGAAGAGGCGTGTCTCCTGGTGAAAAGGAGTGTCTCTTGGAATAAAGGGGGTTGGGAGGAGCGAGGGCGTGATTGTAATTTTATCTGAGAGTTTGTATATGTCTATTTATATGGGAAACCCTATGGGATGTAATTGAACTTCTCTGAAATAGTGAAACCGCCGCTCGCTTCCGAGGACGTAGGCAATTCTTTGCCGAACCTCGTTAAATCTCTGTGTTCTTCTTCTAGTTTGTGTCGATTCCTGTTTTATTCCGCGTTAAATTTCACAACACAATACACCGCTCACATTTAATGAAAAGCCTGATATGGACAATACTCTTTTTTATATATATATATATATGGGTGACATCAAACTCTTAATAATAACAATGATTGCAAATCCCAGAAGGGGATATAAACAGAACTTCTTGAGAATCCACAAGCTCGTAGAAAAGCACATTCCATGAGCAGAAAGTTTGACATTTACTTGGCTCAAACTTGGACACATTTTTTATTTGTTGAAGTCAAAAAACAAGGTTGGTAAAAGGGATTCATAGAAGTTATACAAAGAAATTTAAATCAAGAATAAACAAATAGATGAAATACATGTTGTGGAAAGCATTAAATCTAATGTAGTAAAGTAGGAAGTGAGTATATTAGAAAGATTGATATAAGATAAACTAATTTGGGGAGATCTAATTTTATGATATTTCTATATTATGACACTAATTTGAGGATATCTAAATTTAAGATTTTTCCTATTTTGGAAATATTCCTAATTTTTATACTCTAATCTTTTCTTAGTTATACGAGGAATTATGAAGAATATGGGTGTGTTCTTAATTCGGCCGATATTTTTCTCCCCACGTGTTGATAGTAGAATAACGTCTACCATGGACATAGGCAGATTTATGCTAAGCCACGTAAATCTCACTATGCTTGGCTGCTTGGTTGTTGTGCGAGTTTATTTACCGCATTGTTTTGCACAATATTAGAATCATAGAGGTTTGTGACCACTTAGTCTTTTGATGTTGCTTTACTTTATGAATTGCGGGATGTACTTGGGGTTTGCTTGTGAGTTTACTTCTTGACCCATCCCATTGAATTTCTTGTGTAACACCTGAACATCATCCTAAAAATAATATTTTTAGACTTAATGTAAGTTGTGTTTGGCAAAGACCAACTCCTACTAACACTAATCAGCCTTTTCAATGGATTGTTTATACTAAAAACATTGGCAGCATTCTCATCTTAGGAAGGGATTCTCTACGCATCACGCAGATTTTAAAAGTAGTGTCGTAACTGTCAAAAGAGTTGAATACATCTGTGTAATATTTTATGCCTTGCTTTGATATTTTTACTTTTGGAAAACATGGATAAGGATAATTAATGGCAAACTTTCATATTTATGGATATATTCAAAATCTCTAGAGACAAATAATTGCTAAACGAAAAAAATAAAATCAAATTAAAAAAAGAACAAAACGATTAAAGTGATATGATGTTGATCTTATACTCGACGTTAAATAAATACATAATAACACCAATCGATGGAAGAGAAAGTGCTTTTGAAATAATTAATTGGTTAAAATGCTACTACTGAGTGTTTATTTTTATTAAAAGAACACATCATAAAAGACAAAGCAAGCTAAACAATAAATGGAGAAACCTTATGGCAATATACGCAGAAAAATCCTCTTATATTTTATTAGTTAATGCCATGACATCAATTATTATAAATATCTGATTTAAGTAATAGTTAAAAAATAGCCTATTGTTGAAACTATTTAGATAATGATTCAACAATGAAAGCAACAACCATCAAATCTTCTTTTCAAAAATTTAAAAAGAAAAAAGATTGTTGTAACAAATTATTATTTTTTTAATCATTCAAAGCTAGGACGCAGCTTTTAACATTTCTTTGAAATATTATTTAGCATCATTTTAAGCTCTATTTTGTTCCTAGTTTCCTTCCATTTCTAAGTTCTAAACTAGCATGACAAATGAAATGTATCATCACTTAACATGACACCTGAAGGCTTCTTACCACTAACCATAAATGTGCTCTTAAAGCCGACCGAACAGACCGAACGGGTTGTGTAGATACAAAATAAAAAAAAAAGATGGACAAACTGTCAATCATGTCCTATTTTTTAGTTATCTTGGGCGTAAAAAACCAGGAAGTACAATCATTAGAAGAACCGATTACAAGATAAATGAACTTTACTTTCTGCATTTAATTCTCTTATTCTTATTATAACTATCACTTTCAAGAAGCAAGAGAATTAGGAAACTAAAATATGTAGATCCAAAATGTGTCACCATGAATGTTAATTAGATTCAACGAATTAAGATTTGAAGACGAAGATCCAAGAAGACCCAACAGCAGAAGACCAAGGGACCCACCAGAGGGATACTAAAAGACACATTAGGGAAAGATCAAATGACTCGTTTGACCAAAGTGTTATCTCAATTAACCATCTTCTGGAGCAAACCGAACACAGACCATCCAAACCAAGAACCAAGATCAATCAGGTTGAGGTAAGGTATCAGTCCAACTCTAGCCTTCAATTCGACGCGAGGGAAATTACTCACTAGACATCACACAAACACCTCTGATACACTCATCAAGAGGATGGGGATTGACCATGATATACTCCAAGTGCATCCTAAATAACTCCTCTATTAAGAGGTGAGCTACCCCTCAAATTACAGTGAGTCACCCATTTCCATATGGCCTAGTCTCATCATGTCAATTGGAGTTCCTCACCTAGGGATCAATGGTCAACAATCAAAATATAGTAGTATACCTGTAGAATCAAGTGATCCAAGCCAAATTCTTTTGAACTAAATACCATCGAAAGCCGACCAAAAACCCCAACTCAACAAAGTTAGATGATTGAATTTTGACAAGCCAAGGCCTATTGATCTCAGCTGATCAAATAGCGGGCTAACCAAACCATAGGCTTATACTTATGAAATATCTAAAATATCATGTAACATCCTCACTAAAGTAGAAACAAGCATGTAATTATACTCATTGTACTCCCTCTCTTATAAATAGAAGGGTCCTTTTTTCAGAAGAGGCTAATGAACAATCATTTTTAATGTTCATTATTGTGCACTTTCTCTTTATCTCTCTCTTGTCTTATGTTCTTTTCCTTGGGTGTGAATCCTAGACAAATTCATATTCAATAGTGTGCTAAAATTTACACACGATGACTAAGATGCCTTGCAAACTATACATTATATTATAAATTTATAATCTAGTGTTAGAGGAAGAGCCAGACAAACTGGCAGAACCAGGTGACTGAGGGGGCCAGGGGTGCTGCACTCCACATTGAAGGCTTCGCCCCGCATACAGAGTGTTGTTGGAGGCAGGTAAAATCCATTAAATATTCAAAGTTTCAATGGTCTATGTAGTTATGTGATCTGCCTAAAAATTATCTATTCTTAGTGTACATTTCATGCTCATTTTATGTACATTTTTTATGATATTGTACTTTTAATGAAGATATTTTGCATGTTTTTGGTTCCATGTACTTGGAATGGATATTTAGAGAAAATGAGGACAAAATGGAGCAAAAATGAAAGATTTTGTATAGGGCCATAGCGTCACCCTTGTCGTCATGGCGCCACTTATCGAGCTCATTAGGCTCTATAACGCCCCAAACTGGCACTATAGCGCGAGTAACCAACTTTCTCTAGAATACCCATTGAATTTGGCTAAATTTTGAAGGGATCCCCTTGATGTTTTTTTTATATTAATATGGCCAAATTTTGGACGAAAATAGAGAAGTTTTGGTGTTGGGGTTCTTCTTTGAAAGTTTGGTTGGAGTCTAGTGTGTGTGTGTGTGAGTGAGTGAGTGAGAGTCTTTGTTTTATGTAAGAGTTTGGAGATTGCTTCAAGAAGACTTCAAGATTTGCTTGGGGAGAAGACATAAAGATAAGTATCTTGTATTTATGTTTAAATTTTTTTTATAAAACTTGACTTTCAATACAAATCATGTGTTTTTGTTTTATCTCCATGAATTCTGAGTAATTTCATTTCTTTCTTCTTGCTTATGAGAATTAATCTTGTGGATGAGAATGATTTAAAGAACTTTTTTTTTTTAAACATTATGAAAATATTTTCACCAGTTCTTCATTGACTTTGCAAACTTACCATTTTTATTGTTAAAATCCGTGGAGAAACATAATGACTAGGGAGGGCTAAGATTTCACTAACAAGTGAGTACCACATTTCAACTTGGGTAGAGCCATCACGATAACATGAGGGAGAGTGCAAATAGATAGGGAGATAAGGTTTGATGGGCGCAGAATTAATGTTTATAGGGTGACAAACTAGATTCTTTTATCAATTCGATCTAGAGTTTGGATTATAAGGGTCCCTAGTAGGTCCTATAGAAGATTAACAAAATAAAAAAAAAAGATGGGCAAACTGTCAATCATGTTCTATTTTTTAGTTATCTTGGGCATAAAAAACCAGGAAGTACAATTATTAAAAGTACTGATTACAAGATAAATGAACTTTACTTTCTGCATTTAATTCTCTTATTCTTATTATAACTATCACTTTCAAGAAGCAAGAGAATTAGGAAACTAAAATATGTAGATCCAAAATGTGTCACCATGAATGTTAATTAGATTCAACAATTAAGAGATGAAGACGAAGATCTAAGAAGACCCACCAGCAGAAGATCAAGGGACCCACTGGAGGGATACTAAAAGACAGTGAAGATCAAATGACTCGTTTGACCAAAGTCTTATCT